AAAAAAAAAATGATATAATAAATGTAAAAATATTTCCTACTTTAAGGTTAACTAACAATAATCCATTTTCCCATTTTTAATGCTTATATGAAACTTTTATAAATCAATCTTTAGGAATTTAAAAATGGTAATTTTATCTTAAAATATAAGTTCTGAACATATTTAAAGCATTTATTTTCAAATTATTAAGTGAAAAAATTTTTCGGTTTTGTGTCGATGGTTACACAAATTACGAATTGAAGAAATTTAAAGTTTATTGGTGAAAGTTTGACTTTTTTAAGAGCTATTTTTGATACTTTAATAAAATAAAGCAAATGTCAAAGTTTTTTCATTAAAAATTTCAATCTATTCTATTAAAAATTGTTGGATATTCCTATATTGGAAATGCAGATTTAAGGGGTGGTCCGATTGGTACATGGATTACTAATTAAGCTTTTAATCATCATAATGTTGGCTTTCAATCCTAATAAATGCTGTACATCATAATTATACCATATTATACCAGTATTATAACCCTGAAAATAAATTATCGCAGAGTCGAATTTTTTAGGATTAAAACTTTGGACGTACCATCGTTTACACGAAGAAAAGGTTAATAGTAAAATCCCACCGAAATGGATTCGCCCACCTGATTATTATCGCAGGGACGAAAATATGCGAGTTTATTGAATTCGTCAAAATCATCGCTTTCAGTCCTAATATAAATGCTGTATTCCATATTTTACCAGTATTATAACCCTGAAAATAAAATTATCGCAGGGACGAATTTTTTTAGGCAGAACTGTTACATTAAAACTTTGGACGTAATATCGTTTACACGAAGAAAAGGTTAATAGCAAAATCCCACCGAAATGATTCGATAATTTAGTTATCACGTGAAATACTTGAACGTAAGACTTAAGACTAAATCGGCCTAGAATTAGGATCAAAAATTTTGACCGGAATTATAAAAGATCACATGATATAATTTGCAAAATTGGTTAAATCAGTTCATTAATGTTAACAATCGAATTTTGTAATTTAGTGATTCGTCATCTAGTCATGCATCACTATTACTTAATAGGTATAAAATAATAATATTTTTTATATCATATATGGCAATGATTTAGTATGGGGGTGATTTTTTTGTTAAAATCCCTACAATATTAATCTAACCGCAGGTACCTGCCAGCTTGAGTTTTACATTACTAATTAATCATATGCCAAAAACCCAGCTTGAGTTAATGCGTATGCGTATGTGTAACAATCATTAACGAGAATAAGTAAAATGAATTATGATCTAATCATTTGTAAATAATAACTAAAAGTTTATGTTAAGGATTAGAGTATTAGACACAAAATATAGCCGCAGGCGTTATGCTTTCCCCCCCCTGTTGTACAGCATATTACGCCTGTAATAATACTATATATATGAAAATTTCTCCGGAAAATTACTTACCGTTAACTAAGCCGGAGTTGCGTAATAACTCAAAGAGATATTTAACAAATGACGAAATTTTTTGTATAATTCCACTTTATAATAAAATTTTATAAAACAATTGCAATTTGTTTAACATTTTCTATAATATTTCAACAAACCTTCCCGAACCGATTGTTGGTCATACGACTCGACTGTACTGTATATTTAAAGTATATAAACCGCAGTTAACCGGAACTCCGGAAGGTTTGGATCTGAATTGAAAAAGATAAAGTGATTCTCATGACTTTATAATGAAATCACATAAACAATACATGGCGTAATTATTTAATTCCGTTTTAACAATACACGTGATCTTCTGACTGAGTATAAATAGTAGCTTTTAAACCTTTTCATTTGCGCAGTCTTATTTTTTTCTTAATTTTTTTCTTTTCAAAATGGCATCCTCAAATAAAGAAGATTCATCTATTATAAATACAACAACAAAATCATCCTCAAATCAGTCAAATGCAATAAGAGAAGACTCACAACAACAACAACAACATACTGAGTACAATACTGAAACTGATTCTATTCAAGAATATGAACCTTTCCTAAACGATGAACATATTGAGTACCGAACTGAAACTGATTCAAATTCTCGTTTGAGTAATGTCGGTGATAAGGTCGTTGAAACTGTAAAGGTAAAGTTCTGCACCAAAAGCTTTATTGTTTTATATGTTTTATTTGGAATATAATATGTAATTTTATATAATAATAGCATGGAGTATGTTCAGTTCTTGGAACTACTGATAAAAGTAATCAAGAACAAAAAACACAACGTCCATTAACTGCTAATCGATCGAACTCACCCTCCTCTAAAATTGCTCAAAAAGAAATTTCTGAAATTGAAGAGGTAATGAATTACTGTAATTATGATTATGATTCTTTTTTTAACTTTTAATCTTTTTTCTAACTTTTTATATTTGTGTATTAGGAATATCTCTTTGTTGTTTCACGATCAGAATATTAAAAAGATTTTTTGAGATTCGATCTTTAACGTTCGCTCTATTATTCTATAAAATAATATAAGCTGTATATACATAAATTTATATATATATATATATTTAGTTATTTAGATTATTATAATATTTTCTAATTAATTAAATATTTTTCATTAAAGCTAAAAGCAATCACGCATTTTAAATCGAACTATATGATCAAGCGGTTAATAAAACGAGTTTAGAAATTTTAGCCGAAAATTCATATGAAAGAATGTATAATAAATCTATGAGTTTACGCTATTAGAAGCTAATATTTGACATAACAACAATAAACATTAATTGTTAATTATTTAATTATTTATTGCTATTACTATTATTTTGGTTAATGGTTAATTATAACAGTGATGGCGGTAGGTACCTGTTCTACTTTTCAGCAGTACATTTTTACTAATAAGGAAAAAAATTGGTTTTTAGTAGAATTCTGTGTAACTTTCACTATTAACGGCGGAACATCGAGTTACGGCAGGAATTCATCTCAGTACCGACAGAAAATAGTGTGTACTCTCTCTGAAAGTCTATTACAAAATACACTATTTAAGCCGGAATTTACTATAACGGTTAATAAGTTAGTTACCTGACTCGATTTTTTTTAATAAATAATGATCTAATGATATTTTCTGTTATTGTTTTTATTATGTAAAGAGATACTTGTAAATCAAGAGATAATAAACCAACTCAGATTAAGTAGATAAAAGCCCACAACCCTTTTTAATATATAACCCTTTTTAATATATAACTCTTTTTAATATGTATAAAAATGATTGGTACGTGATGACATCCTTTATGAATTTACTCATTATTCTATATTTACGTCATAGTATACCAAATATGAATCTGTAAAGTTGGGAATCTACGATCATATTGATCACATTTAAATTATGGTCTAACGCTTTCTTAATTTTGACTTAAATTTGTACTACTGTGCCTTAAATAGTAACTTTCATTAATTCCGGCCAAAATATAAGCTGCTACGGAAAATTACGGAAAATCACGGAAAATCACGGAAAATACACGGAAAATACACAAAATTTCCATGAAAAAAACTTTATAGACATCCCAAAAAAATGGCACGATAAAAAACATACAAGTATACGTGATTTAAAGTATTTTTGATATATGAAGTATGAACTTTTATTGATTATAAGATATAAAATATAAATTTTTATGTAAGTAATTTTTGAAGAAAGTATAGTACAAAATGTATTTAAAAATATTAATTTACAAAAGATAAGAGAAATAGGAATACTTGACTTTAAATCAATTAAAATGAAGTAAATCCTAATCTTTTTTTTTTTTAAACAAAAACTATAAAATGGTAAAAGGAAAGAAAAAATTTCTTTTTTTTTAAAAGAATCAGCTGCTAATCTAATTTTTTTTTAAAAAAAAATTTTTTTTTTTTTTTTTTAAAGAAAGAAAAGAACAAAATGTTTTTTTAATTTTTATGTTTCAGAATATTCTTGAAAAGCTTCACAAACGGCTACAGCTTTAACACCCAAACCAAGATATTTAACATTTTCCCAAATCTTTTTATAATTATCCGCATCCAAAGATTCATATAATTTATCATCATTACCATCATATAAATATTCAAGTATAGGTTCAAAATTTTGAGGAAAAGGTAAACCAATGGTCACAACATCGCCACTCGTCAAATTTTTAAAAACTTTTTGAAAGAAATTTGATTGTAAGATAAGATATTCTTTATGAACAAAGAAAGGATTTTTATTATATCCTTTAATATGAAGTTCAGTATCAGCTGTTGATTTATCATTATAATAACTTGGTCCTAAATTATGTAACTTTTCCAGAATATAATTTATTGGAATCCCATCAATTAATTGTAAATGTCCTTGAAAATCAACATTTTGTAAATCCGGTACAAATTGATCAAGTGGTAAAAATTGTGTTGTCGTTGTTGTTGTTGTTGTCGTTGTCATATTTGATATTGATAATATTGATAAAAAAAGATTTGATTATTTTTTAAATATTTTTTTTTACAAAAAAAAGATATTTTATTATTTTTTTTTTTGGCTTTTGATTTTTGTCCTTTTCTTTGCTTTTTTTTTTTTATTTATTATTTGATGAGAGAGAATCTTGGAGAAAAATCAGCATTTAAATAGTCAAAAAATCTTATATCATTGAAATAAACATTATATTTTAAGAACAATAATAATGTTAAGGAGAAATAAAAATTGTCACAAATCACGGGTAACAATACCTAAGTGGAACAATACATCATATCAAATTATTTACATTATTCGGAAATTTGTACAACAAAAAATCTAAAAAAAGAAACAATATTATCACATTTTTTCAAATTTTTAGCATTGTGGTGACAATGAAGTGATAAATTTATCAAAAGTAATAACTTATTCTCATAACATATCTTACATATGGAAATCATATAATAATATTTAAAAACCTTCTTTCACCTTTAAGTAAACTCATATATAATAGGTAGAAATATGCGATAAAAGAATTGATTTACTAAAGTCAATAATAATGTGTTGCGAATTCTGCGCATTTTTAGAAATGTGATAAGATTATTCAATTTTATCACGAAAACGAAACACGAAAGGAGGAAAAAAAAAAAAATTTTTTTAAAGTTTTTCACCTTTCCAAACAAATAATAAGATTGAAAGTTTATCGATAAATGAAATACAATTTAAGCAATTTAAGATTATGACATGTCAACTGATGTTAATGTTTACATTCTTCACATATTTCCTAATTCATGTTAAAAAAAACAATAAAATAATAAAAAATTTATTCAGTTTCAGTATCCGACTTTTTTTAGAAATATTGTTTTTTTTATCTATGATCTTTTTTTTTTGCTATGAAGATAATCAAATATAATTTAGATCTTTTACATAATTCTAAATCTAATCTTAAAAAAATGATACACTATTTTGGACATGTAAAATTGTAAAATTCAAAAAAATTGTTCTTACATTTTAATTACTATATGCTATATGTATGTATAACACCTGCGATAATAATGTTTTAAGATAATTTTTCTATTGGTAATTAATTTTTATTATAATGATTCGGGTTCATAGTGTAAGGAATGTATAGTTACATCATTTAACATAACGTAATTATAAACGTAAGCAATCTAATTTATTATAGTCCTGCAATATTTATTTTTCTTCACTATTCAAAAATTCATGATATCCAAATGAGTATCAAAAGGTAATTTATTGATGATAATCAACATACATTAAACATGAAACATTATGTTTGGTCATACCTAATTATTTTAATTTGTTTATCTTAATTCAACTAAACTTTAATTAACTTATTTGTTTTTTTTCCTCAAATGTTGCATATGTGTTATATTTGTTTCAAAAGTTCTCCATATTATTTGGTCATTAAAATAAAAATATTAAGGAACTTAATATTTTCGGTAAGTTTTTGTTTCATGCTCAAAAAAAAAAAAAAGAAAAAAAGAAAAAAAGTTTCAACAATTGAATGTTACAGGAGTTTATCTATTTAGAAGAATTTTGAAATTTTCTTTTTTTTCTTTAACGAAGAGTAAAAAATTTAAAGATCTTCATTAAATCGTTTTTTCCTACATTTAATTAATTAAACACTTATTAACCATAATGATGTGATCTTCAAGTTAATCATGAACTAAAGTAGTAATAAATGTTATGATTTTTTTATTATTATGGTTAATTTGATCGTTCGTCTTTCACGTTTTAATTAATCGGCGAAAAAGATTTACGTCATATAAAGGTAATAATTTATGCAAAAATACATAACAATCATGAAACAAATGAAATAACATAACAGTTGAACAATTTTTTTTAATGTTTGAATTTCCGAAATTAAATTTACTTCACTGTCCGATGGAGAAACTATTCGTCCGCTGATCGAATTGCCATCATTTAACAAATAAACAAATAGAATAAACAATGATATTATTAAAATCAAAAAGTTTCAATTACAATACAATCAATTGTTGGAATATATCGAATTAAAAATATATTTCTATAATTGTTGATAGTTGAAAAATTTTTGTCAAATAAAATTTTATTACTAATAGTTCGATCGCGAGCGCAGTACATTTTTTTTTTTTGTTTTTTTTTTTAACAGTTTCGACTTTTATTACAATATAGAAAATTTCAGGGGGTTTGACTATTGTATCCCCATTATGATTGGTTTGTGTTGATAGAGGACATTTAAATCTGGGTATTATTACGTGATACTAATAAAATCATGGGATGATACCTTTCCCCGCACTCGAACTTTTGAAGTTTCGTCTCAAAACATGGTTTTATTATTTTTATTATATAATCATTATATGCTTAAAGATCATTACTATAATAATTCAATTTATTTATATTATATAACATCATATAACTCTAATTCGGGTTCGAAACTTATTAATTATGAGCTGGAATAGTTGAAAAATACTGAAAATACTTTTATATTATTTTGTATATTCAAGGACCAAAGGAAAAATGTCAAAAAGCAGCAAAAGCTGCTAAAGCAAGTTAAAGTAAAATTATAATCTACATTACTTACTACGTACCTATTGAATTATCAGAAAATCTTTTTTGAGGATTTTTTTGATAGTCTGTGTATTTTTTTATTATGGGAAATGTTAAAAAGAAATCTCACCTCGCGAAAACTTATATCCGTTTATATTTGCATGATCTACCAAAATACATTTCGGAAAAAACATAAACATCATTGCATAAAAACATGGTTTATATGAATTATATACATGTATATGGAATTCTATGGAATTCCGGCATGAGAATAATTACCCGGGACAAATTTTATGCGTAAAAAAAAAATACTTTTGGAAATTAGTCATTTTGATTAATAACTTCTATAAAAATAATCCAAGTTAAAAATGCCATTATTCATCAATATCCTATAGATTACAATTAGATAATCATGAAAAAAACTTGAAAAGTAATTTTTTTTTTTTTTTTTTCGAATTTATATCAACATTTTTGGATATTTATAAGACCGACACATTTCACTTAATAAAGTAATTTAATATGCATGTCAAATAAAATAAAATTAATTACATTAGTTTCGTCCTTAGAAATATTTTTTGCACATTAAAATCAAATAAGATCATATGATCTTTTCTATAAGGAGCTTTCAAAGTCTCACTCTTTTAGAAAAAAAAAAATCTATATATATCTTACCTTTTCGCTCTACAAATTTTTTTTTAAAAAAAAGAATATTTTCTTCTCCATTTATAAAATAAAAAAATAAAAATAATAAAATCCCTTTTTATTTATAAGTATATTCTTATTATTAAAATCGTTAAAAATGCCAAAGTGGTCATTCATTCATGAAAATGGACGTTCCCCAATATCTCCAATGGCTTTACGTAAAAGTATGTCAAAAGATTGGAGATCAATCTCTGTACCATTCCCTCCTAATGTTAATCCAGCGGATTTTGTTCAGCCAAGAAAGGATGGTAAACCTCGTAAAAGATGTGCCAACTATTTCTTAATATATCGTATTCAATTTGCAGAGGCTTTACGAGCTAGTGGATACAATACACCATTAATGACAGATATTTCCACAATGGCAGGTGATGCATGGAGAGAAGAACCTGAATTCGTTCGTCGTTATTACAAAAAAGTTGCAAATGAAGTTAAAAAATTACATGACAACTTATCCAGAGGTTCAACGACACCTCAATCATTAGAAATGTTTGAGAATGAAGTTGAAAATTCAAAAGGATTAATTCCTTTACAAGTTAATATAACATCAAATTTAATGCAACCACAACAATCTTATGAATTTTCTATGGATCAAACCTATCAAAATCCTGATGAAATTCCTCAATTTATTACGAACACAATAGAATATGATCAATCTAATTTAATGAATGAAAATGATTATTCAGTAGGGGGTTATAATAACTTATTTTTTCAATCAATTAATGAATTAAGTCTTGGACTCGTTACATCCGAATCAACCAATTTTTATGATTATTTTTATAGGTAGATATTTTTATAGGTAGTTATTTATAGAAAAAGAAACCCTTTTTTTTTTTTTTTTTATTAAGTCAAAATTAAGTATGTTATATGTATATATGCTAAAAGGTATAAAAGGTAAAATTTAACAAAAAAAAAAAAAAATTTCCTTTCTTCAGATTTAGAAATTATTTGTATATTAATTAAAATGCTTGTATTTTTGACCAAATTTCTTTCTCTAATAAAAGTTGTTTTTTTTAAAAAAAAAAAAAAATTTTAAAAAAAATATAAATATTAAAATAATATTCACAAAAAAAGAAAAAAATATTAATATTTCAAATAATAATAAAGTTTTTATTGTAATTGTCTTTTAAAGTTAAGCTTGTATTTAATGTGTGATACATGCATAATTTTTTAAAAAAAATAAATGACTTAAATATTTTGGCATACAAACCCATAACAACTTCTATTTTTACATTTTTTTTTTTTATTTCTTGGCATCTAGCTAATGAAATATATTCACGTAAGGCGTGGTCTTTCCTGGTTATAGGAAGATTTTTTTGTTCTTAATTGGGGGTATCGGGTGAAAGAATTCAATAATTATCAGTCACAAACAACTTCTAAAAAGTAACACTTGTATAACCTAAAAGAATGATTTGTCATTTACTTTATTTTTATTTTATTTTTAAAATGTTAGACAGAAACATGATTTGTCATTTATTGTCATTTACTTTTTCATAATCTTTTTGAAACGATCAAAGTTTCAAGATCACGTGGATATAATAAATTATAATGGTCGAACCAATCCTTTATCGCATTTCAGCCCCTGATCTTCATTTTCGTCATTTGTATTTGGAAGACCGAGAACCAAATTTTGTACTTTTGTACTGAGAGAGTTATCACAATGTTTACGGTTTACATTGTACAACATTTTTTTCCCGATTCCAATAAACAAATGTGATATTTTTAATAATTACCATCAAAATAATTGTGCATATATATTTATTACCAAAACGTTAGAGAAATTTTTTTTTTTCCTACAATTCCTCTTTCGACTTATTCCGACCAAAAAAAAAA